GAAATGCACCTCGTTCTATTGGCTGTCAGATTTTTATAACCCATGGAGCTAAAGTCTGGAGTTGGCACCATCCACTTGCATGGATAAATTTTTTTATTCTTGCATGGGACAAAAATATAGATTCCTTCGACCCCCCAATTTGTAAAATGTTGGCCCCGGTTCTAATTTAGATCATCCTTTTTCATTAGTTAGATCATTGATCAACGGTACGTAATTATCTTCTTTGATCTATTTATTATGAAAATATTAATGATCCCTAATTTCATAATTTATTAAGTACAAATATGATAAAGTTAAACAAAAAGTAAAGCATGTGATTAGTGTAATTATTAAAAATTATTTGAATGTATTTATTAAACTTTATTTATTATCAAATTATGTTAAAAAAAGGAATAAACTTCAAATATTTAAAAAAAAGAATAAACTTCAAATATTTAAATAATTCATAATAAATAATTTTTATTTTGAAGGCTAATGTTTTTAAGTATTTATAATAGATTCCACATATATTTATAATGAATTCTTAATATAATAGATTCTAAGTATTTATATATGATCCAAAAACCATAACGAAGATCATGGCGATCAAGCATTTCAAATTCGCACGGAACCTTGATTGGCCGGCTAAGTGATCGTGAAAGCTGCCAGAGGAGTGTGGAAATGGCACCAACCTGTGCTGAGCATTGAAGGTGATCTGGGATGCTTTCATGTGGACCACAATTGTTAAAGGATGCATCAGCAGCAATACCTTCTTTGAATGTCTTGTAATTAAATTATATCAAGTGGAATGCATAGAGATCCATTCATTAGCATGCCAGACGGAGAAATTGCCTGCCACTCACTGTCTACACCTAATAAATATTCTTTGATGGAACTGTCATTGCTTGGACTCTCGCGTTTGTTTTCACTCTCAGTGCAGCTGGCAATGAATCCACTAATAGTAAATGGTTTGGGAAGAAGCACAAATGTAATGTTTTAGAGCTTATTTACTTTTGTATGCAGTATTATCGGTGATTCATAGCAAAATGAAGCTGCATTGCACTTTGGACTGTTAATGAACACCATATGATCATTATTATAGAAATGAAGGTGAATGATATTTCGCATTAACTTACAGCAGGGGAGGACCAGCTTGTACAGCGAAGGGCAAATGATACCAGTGGTTCAGATAACTCCGATCCAAATATGTTCCTCGCTGCCATTTCATCATTTTTTGCGCCTCTTGAAATTGTCTGATCAAAACTCAGGAGTAAATGGCATGCTGAGGAAGTATTTAATTTTCTAAAAAAGCTTTCATGGAAGTTGTAATGGGCACCACTTACGTATTTTGAGTAATAAGGCAGTCTAAGGATGAAATGTTCTATAGTTATTGCATTTAGCAGGTGTCCTCCAATATTTATTGTTGCCTAAATAATAAAACATAGAAGCAGAAAATTATGAACTTGTGCGGTATCACCATTCACCTGCCATAAGTTAAAGCATGACAAAATAGTATATCTTAAACAAAAATTTCTGGATAGCCCATACCTTTCTCATTAGTTCAACAACCATCTCAGGACTCTCGGGGATTCCATGTTCTAGAAATGCCTACGGCAATATGACACGGTAAAGATTCTTTACGTTAATACTTGACACAGTTACAGAAAAGATAGGTTTAGGGCATGAATTAAATCCAATGGAATGGAAAATGATGGTCAAATTCAGATTTACCTAAACAATTTGGAACTTGAAAGAAAGAATATTTGACATTTTATAAAAAGAGGCTGGCTTACATTCATCATGCAGGAATTGTAAATATTTATCCAGAACGCAAGTTTCTCCTGATGAGTGAGGTTCTGCAAGTCGACGGAGGCAAGTTTCCCCAATAGAAGTCTGACGATTCATAAATCATACTAGTGTTGTTGATATGATAAAAACAATGCATGAAACTAATCGAATTACTTGGAAAAGTTAAAACTCACTCAAGTCTGTGAAGTAGAAACAAAGAATTTGATGTTCGGTTGGGATTAATCGCCCCAGGTTCTATTGAAAACAAACGCTTATATGACCCAATATCTCTGTTTCCAAATTCTGAGCATATACCATATGGATCCCGACATTCAATTTCTTTCCCATTTTCTTGAGAGACTAATGTTGACGAGAAAGGTAAATTATCTGCAGTAGGCTTATTTTTCACTGAGCTCATTCGTAAGAAAATGCTTGACAAGCATTTCATGATGTCCTCAGACACCTTGTTCGGGCTGTCATCTCCTGATAGCCTTTCACCTGGACTAACAACAGTTCTTGCTTCCACATTTTCTTGGCCTGTTACTCTGCGTTCTAGCTGGACATATGTAACTGGGTTCATTTAGTTGTTAATAAAGTTGATACATCTTAATGAAAATTGTTGGTATTATTACATAATACAGACCTGTAACTTAGGAGAATCTAATGTCTTTTCTGCTGATCCATTGTTGACGGCAGGTATTATGACCATATTTTTGCTTGTCTGAGCTTTATGGATTGAGGATCCTTTGTTGTTCTTCATAGAATTAGCAGTAGAGAATGCATTCTCTTT